CCCTGCTCCGCGGGAGGCCTGCTTCTCCCTCTCCCACTCCCCTGCTTGTGTTCCCTCTCTCGCTATCTCTCTGTCAAATAAATAAATAAAATCTTTAAAAAAAAAAATCCCATAGACAATGTGCCCACTTATTGCCTGATTGCCTAACACAAGTCAGACTGTTCCCAATGCCACCCCACCTTAGTACAGCAATGAGAAGGAAAAACAGTGTTTAAATTTATATTTAAAAATATAATTCAAAGAAACTTTTCAGGGCAAAAAGAAGGCTTACATCCACATATTCAAAGGACAGCGGGAAAAGTCTACCCAGAACGATCAGCTTGTGGTGGCTGAAAGTAAGGAAGTTGTAGGGGCTGAATGATGACCCCCAAATCGGCCCAATTCCTAAAATCTCCAGGAGCTGCAAATGGTACCTTATATGGCAAAAGGGACTTTGCAGGTCTGATTAAATTTAGGATCTTTAGATGGGGAGATTATCCCAGATTACCCAGGGGGGCCCAAGGTGATCACGCTGCCCTTGAGAGCCAAGGAGGTCAGAATCTGCCAGGAGGTGACGTGACCATTGAAGTAGAGACTGACATGATGTGGCTGACAGAGAGGGAATGTCGACAGCTTCTCAAAGTTGCAGGAGGCAAGGCCCTCGAGCTTCCAGAGGAACCAGCATTGTCTATACCTTGACTTCAGCCCAGTCACACTGATTTTGGACTTCTGACCTCCAGAATTACAAGAGAACAATTGTGTGTCATTTTAAGCCCCTTAGTTTGTGGGAATTTATTAGAGCAGCAATAGGAAATGAATACAGAAGTGCTCGAGAAATTTTAAAAATTCAAATAAAAAAACTATTCAAAGGATCAGGTCCTCCTTGGGGTGGTGGTGAGAGGAGGGCACCGTTATGACACATTTAAACTGTGAGAATGATGATCTAAAGAGTTTTAAAGTCAGAGGTAACTATGTCCTCTGAGGGATTATTTGCTTCAGTTCGAATCAGAGTCAAAAATCTTAGTAATCATAGAAGTGTATTCATCTGGGACGGCTGGGTGGCTCAGTCAGTTAAGCGTCTGCCTTCCGCTCAGGTTATGATCCCGGGGGGGTCCTGGCTCAGCAGGGAGTCTGCTTCTTCCTCTCCTCCGGGCTCATGCTCTCTCTCTCTCTCACAAATAACAAAATAAAATCTTAAAAAAAAAAAAAGTGTATGCGTCTTTTTGAATTCTAATTAATTTACTTGGAAATCCAACAGAAATCTATATATGAGCTGATTGTTTTAACTGGAATCAGAAAGAATTCTCAACTCTCTTAGTGTCTTCCTTTCTTTGTTTCCTCTTCCTTCATTTTCCTTCCTCCCCCATTCCCTCACCTCTTTCCTACCTTCTTTCTGTCCTGCCTTCTAGATTGCTAGTTGAATAATTCAGTCATTCATTTATTTTTACATCTCACCTGATACTGGGGCCCCAAATCTACCAGTCATAACATCAAAGAAGTTTCCTATGTTCGTCTCCACGCTGCTGAAGATAATCCCGCTGTTCTGATTGCTGAAGTGGGTTGCCAGAGAAGCCATGAATGCAATCTAAGGAAAGTTAGTTAATAGGAAATTTACCTTAAAGAAATGGGGTTTTTATAAAAGTAAGTTTAGTTCAATATTATTTGTAACAACTAGATCGGAAATAAACAGAAAAAAATTAAATAAATCATGGTAATTTCTAACATTTTATGCTATGAAGCCATTAAAATGATAGTATATATCAGCAGTTCTCACCTTGTGTTTCAAAATGTTTTTTGAAATATTAAAATTCTATTACTGGGAAAATTTGGATGAAATCTACTTATAGCTGTTAAATGCTATTAAATGCACATTAGCATATTAAAGGATCTGAGTAGGCCTGCAGCCAAATAACCTTTTAATTTTGTTCACTCTGTGTTATTTTTTTCTCCAAAAGAACTGTGATATTATGATTTGTAATAAATATACATTTAGTCTTTGTCCCAGTTTTTGGCACAGAGTTCCCAAAACCATTGGAATATCTTAAGTGTTTAGGGAGAGCAAGGGGTCTTTTGTTATGTTAATGAGGTGACTTTTGGAAAGCCCCTAGGTAACCTAAAGATAGGGGCTCATTGCCATTGGAGCCAACGCTGGGATTAGAGGGTTGAAACTTTCAGTCCCACCCCACATCAGGAAGGGCAGAGGGGTGGGCGGTTGAATTCAATCACCAATGGCCTGTGACTTAATCAATCACGCCTATACAATGAAGCTTCCATAAAAACTTAAAAGGAAGGGGTTCAGAGAGCTTCTAGGTTGGTGAACATGGGAAGTGCAGGAGAGTGGTACTCGGTCTTTGAGAGGGCAGGGAAGCTCCGCACCCCTTTCCCTAAACCTTGCCCTATGCATCTCTTCCATCTGGCTGTTCCCTTTTACAAGAAACCAGTGACTGAGTAAGCAACATGTTTCTCTGAGTTCATGCTGGCAATTACTTGAACCCCAGGAGGGTTCATAGCCTCCCCTTCATAGCCGGAATGTCAGAAGCACAGATGACAATCCAGACTTAGAGTAGAGTCTGAAGTTGGGGGTGGCAGTCTTGTAGGGCTGAGCTTTTAAACTTGGAATCTGATGCATTCTCCAGGTAAGTAGTGTCAGAATTGAGTTGAATTGTAAGGACACCTAGCTTGGGGGTGTGGGAAAACCCCCCCACACTGGAATTGTACCGCTATTAGACAGTCACATTTGAAAATCAATGTCAGTCCCCCATCCACATGAGTCATTGTAACTGAGTGTGAGTTAGATCAATAAATTCTTGGGGCACCTGGGTGGCTCAGTTGGTTAAGCGACTGCCTTCGGCTCAGGTCATGATCCTGGAGTCCCGGGATCGAGTCTCGGGCTCCCTGTTCAGCAAGGAGTCTGCTTCTCCCTCTGACCCTCCCCCTCTCATGCTCTCTCTCTCTCTCATTCTCTCTCTCAAATAAATAAATAAAATCTTTAAAAAAAAAATTCTTTAGCTTCCTGGGATTACCAGTCTTCAATGAATGGGAGTTTTAAGGGAGGGGCTGAGAGAGGAGAGAGGGAATAATTTGAAGTTTGGAAGACCCAGGGGAAAGCAGGCTTAGGAGAATCAACACGGAAAGGATTTGGACAGTCAGAAAGACAGCATGAGGGCTGTGGACTCGGAAGGAAGGGGAAGGAGAGGGATGACCCCGGAAGAGGGGTTTTGGAAATGGGAATGAAGGGGCCTGGAAGTCACCCTTCTTTATAGGCTGCCTGAAACCAATCATTCCTCCTCTGTAATGCCTCCTTTAAAACAAGTGAATGTAGGGGGTGCCTGGGTGGCTCAGTTGGTGAAGCATCTGCCTTCAGCTCAGGTCATGATCCCAGGGTCCTGGGATGGAGCCCTGCATCGGGCTCCCTGTTCAGAGTGGAGTCTGCTTCTCCCTCTCTCCTCAGTGGGGAGTCTGCTTCTCCCTCTCTCAGCTCATGTTCTCTCTCTCTATCTCTCAAATAAATAAAATCTTAAAAATAAATAAAATAAAATGTGTGAGTGTAGTTCTCCCAAATTATTACATTGTGGTTTTAGGGTAAAATAATTGATGGAGCATTTTAATAATTGCCCAGGGTGCGCTCCATCAGACTGGCTACTCCAGGGCCCCCTGGCCCTTGTATAACCATCACAGGTTTAGAATTAAAGTTTCTAGATTTGGGGATGTTAATCATCCCTCTCATTAGACACCTTTAACCTGGCCAAGTGGCATCTGTCTTCTTTTCTTTGTAAATTTTTGCCGGCCCATTAATCCCAGGTTGCTAAGATTATTAAACAGCGTTCCTTTACAAGTGACAAAACCTCAAAAACAGTTCGAGAAACACAAAAGACCTCTCAGGTTATAACTTAGAAAACTCGAGGCCCAGAAAAATGATGGAATGTATCCGAGGTCAAACAACCATCAAATATGTCCAAATAAAAGGCAAAGTTTTCCCCCAATTGATCTTTCAGAAAGAGTCTCTGTATTCTGATTCTTTAAAAGTCTCTCACGCTATGGTATATTCTCTCAATTACACACAGCCGCCAGCTGTGTGAAATAATATTTCAACTTTAGATGCTGCCGTAGCAATCTGCTTTCAGTAGAAACCATACTTCAGATTTTGAATTTGGATCTTTTCCGGGGCCATCAATAGGCAATAGACCCTTTCTTGTGATGCTGGGCAGGGGCAGCGGGCCACAGCCCCCCGTCAGCCACACCGTCGAAAGCGTCAGCAACTAATGATACACTTAACAACCATTATAATTAATAATAAACACTAGCTTTCAATGCTGATAGAAATCCCTTGGAAAAATCAATTTTAAAAACATCAGCCAGGAAATAAAGAAATAACCAAGACTTAGTAATCTTCTTGGTGACCTAACCTTGCATTTGCAAGTTTTAGATGTTATTGGCCACAAGAATTTTGAACATCACTTAAAAGGGAAATAAACAATAGACAAATGAACACGTAAGCTTAGGATAAAATATTCAATTATAGCCTCATAAATAGATTCAAAACATGTTAAGCTGAAATAAATATAATTTAGTCTAAACTAGGATGGATGACTCAAAAATAAAATGTCTCTAGCGATAAAGAAGATGCTGATGAGAAAAGTTTATTTCTTTTTTTAAAGTTTTTTTTTGAGGGGGGGCACCTGGGTGGCTCAGTCGGTTAAGCAGCTGCCTTTGGCTCAGGTCATGATCCTGGAGTCCCAGGATCGAGCTCCGCATCAGGCTCCCTGCTCAGCAGGGAGTCTGCTTCTCCCTCTGACCCTCTCCCCTCTCATGTGCTCTCTCTCTCTCTCTCAGATAAATAAATAAAATCTTTTAAAGATTTTATTTATTTATTTTTGACAGAGAGATAGAGAGCACAAGTAGGCAGAGAGGCAGGCAGAGGGAGAGGGAGAAGCAGGCTCCCCAGTGAGCAGGGAGCCCAACTCGGGCTGGATCCCTGGATCCTGGGATCATGACTTGAGCCGAAGGCAGCCACTTAACCGACTGAGCCACCCAGGCGCCCCAAGAGAAAAGTTTAAATAAAAACTGTGCCACAAGATCTTGAGTTGATAGAGAATAATACTTATATATTAATATCCATATATATGATTTAAATTGGTAAATGTAACAAAATGAATAAATAAAATATTTGAGGTAGACACATTCCATCTATATATTTGAGTTACCAAAACCCTTTTTATTTAATATCTCTTCCAATTTGGAAAATGGGACATTAGCTGATACTCAGGGCTTCTGTGTATTTAGTCTAAGAAGGGAGCTGAATTTCAACTTCTTAGGAATGATTTCAAAATGCTCTTTGAAGAGTACAGGCCGCCTGCCAATGCCCTGCCGTGGGGTTGAGCAAAGCCAGCCTCGGGCATGCGGGCATGTGGGCCAGCAGCCATCAGTGAGGATGTGAAGAGGCACTCGGGCCTTCTGCTTCCTGGACTTCGAGGGTCTGGGCAGTTTAGAAGTCCCATGGAGATCGGCCCAAGGTGACTTACCTGCAGTTCTGGCGGAATCCCCGGGTAGCCCTTTTCTCCCTTGGGGCCATGCTGCCCTCTTTCGCCTCGTGGCCCCAGGTCACCTTTGTCTCCTTTCTCACCTTTGGCCCCTTCATGGCCAGTGGCTCCATTATTGCCATTGTTCCCATGGTTTCCTTAAATCACAAGCAGAAGGCATCATAGGAGAAAGCCCCCATCACTCACACTGACCATCTATTGTTATACAAATGCAGACCCTTTTTTTTAAAAGATTTTTTCATTTATTCATTCCAGACACAGAGATACAGAGAGAGAGAGAGAACATGAGTAGGGGGAGAAGCAGAGGGAGGGGGAGAAGCAGGCCCCCTGCCGAGCAGGGAGCCCGATGCGGGGCTCGATCCCAGGACCCTGGGATCATGACCTGAGCCGAAGGCAGACGCTTAACCATCTGAGCCACCCAGGTGCCCCAGACCCCTTCTTCGAAAATGTTCGCTCTCAATTGCAAAAGAAGACCATTTGAAACAGTCCCAAACATAGCCAAGGAGGCATCATCAAATGGGTTCTCTTACATGGGACACTGAAGACAGCCTTAGCTACTCAAGTCTCCAAAGCCTGTTTTTCCTATAAAGCGAGAGTTGGGTGAAAAATTTTGAGGACTGATGATCACAGTATCATTTATAATAGCAGAGATTAGAAACAAACAATACTGGAAGAGCTCAATTAAAAAAATGGCACATCCCAGTAAATAATGTTACATCATCACAAAAAAAGAATGCTAAAGGAAAATATTTAATAACATTTAATAATGTTCACGATACTTTTAGATAAAAAAGTTATGAATCAGTAGAGACAGTGCAATATTATGTGTAAACAGTACTTATATATTATGTAAAAATATTTCCAGTGGTTTTGTTTTTTTTTCTGAATGGATGAAACATGAGTGGTCTTGTGTCCTGCTATGTACTTTTTCGTCTCTTTGAATTTTTCTGTAAAGGATGTGCACCACTTTTATCATCGAGGGAGATGTAAAATCACTGATACAAATTGTAACAATAATTTTGAAAGCAAGACTTAGATAATGATTTCAACTCGTCACTTTGCCACTAAGAGACAATTTCTACAACTCTCCCTTTATCTTATATTTGTTGAATTTCACACCCTGTCGCAGTTTATTTTGCATGCTACCTTTGGTCAGGTATTATACCAGGTTTGCAAACTCTCCAGATAATTGAACTTTGACTGTGTTTGCAAGTTAATGGGCCCAAAAAAAGCCATTTTGATTGGGAAACATTTAGTCAAGGCCAGCTTGTTCTGTACCCTCAAAAGAGTTTAGACTTCAGAACATTTTAAGAGGATGAATATTCTCTGCCCCCAATCACTGCACCTGCTGGAGCCACCCTTAACATTCCATGACATAGACTCCAAGACAGTAATCACGGTGTAAAGTCTAACAGAATGTTTTCTCATGTTAAATTTGGTTTCATAAGAGAAGCCACTCAAAAGTATATTAAAAAATCAAAACTCGGTGAACCTGGGTGGCTCAGTCGGTTAAGCGTCTGCCTTCAGCTCGGGTCATGATCTCGGGGTCCTGGAATCAAGCCCCACGTCTGGCTTCCTGATCAGCGGGGAGTCGGCTTCTCCCTCTCCCCCCTGCTCCCGCGCGCTCTCTCTTATTAGCTCTCTCTCTCTCAAATAAATAAATAAAATATTTTTTAAAAAATTAAAACTCATTTGATAAATGTTAACATCACTGAGGGTAAGTGAGAGAAGAGCAAGTGGACTTCTGTCAAATCCTGAGAAAAAGTCCTACCCCCAGTAATTAACCTGTAAAGAGGAAAACAATTAACCCTCAGATGGATTTGGGAGTCCTAAGACAGAGAGGATCTGGGCTACCCTTTCCTTGGCTGACCCCAGACACTAGCCAGTTTTCAGAACCTCCCATGCCTGGGGCACACTCTGTAGGGTAGGGTGTCTGAATGGAGCCTGACAGCGTTTCCCATGCCGCCATGTGGTGCTGGAGCCCAAAAATGTTCCCATGAGCCCAAGAGAGGCATGAAAGTCAACCAAGAGATAGCTGAACGTGGACAGACCCTGAGACTAAGGGAAGAAAAACTTAGCTAGACGCAGAATCAGACGTAAGGCTGCGTAGTTCAGTGAACAGCACTGTGGAGACGGCTATGGCCAGCCCAGTAGGCACTCCTCTCCTCCCCTCCCCACCTTCACTTCCTAAGTTCCCTGAAAGTTAGATAGTGTGTTGCATGAAGTGCGTTGTGGCAGAAACGCCCAAACAAGAGTATGTCCAATAAGATCCCACGATTCTGTACTCCACGCTGGTGAAGACCCTCCCCCTCTCTGCCACCGACAGTGAATCTGGTGCCCCAAGATGACGAACACCTGTGGGATGCTGCAAGCTGGATAAATAATAAATACTATAGAGTTTATGGTATATTGTTGCACCTAATTGGCTCTGTAAACCCAGTCCTCGCCCAAAACTCTCTTTTGGATTTTCCATGCACACCCTTTGGATCACACACAGTGAACCCAAATTATTTCGATTCGCCCTGGCTCTGATTTTGGCACAGTGCACAATTAGACTGGCAACAAACAGAGCATTTCTCTCATCCTTACCTGGAATGCCAGGGGGGCCAGGGGGCCCCGGGGGACCTTGGTAGCCTCTGAAGCTGTATTCTCCATGGCAACACTTGCTGCAGTCTGGGGGCGGTCCTCCGGTTTGTGGAGACTTTAAAAAAGATAGAGAGAGAAGCTTCAGAGAATGGTACTGGGGAGTCATTAGGACTTGTGAATTTCCCTTGGTCTCGTCTTTTGGGTAAGTTTAACTCCAAACAACCTACGACAGCATCAGAAAAGCTGGTGTGGAGTGGGGGCTTGAATGGCATGCTAGCTAAAGAGAGCCAATGACCAAAAGGACAAGGAAGCCAGAGGGTCAAAAGAAGGGCATGCTCTTTGGAAGGTGTGTGGTGTTGGCAGGGGATGGGGCAGTGTTTCTGGGAAGTACTGTCTTGAGGCTACTGGTGACGGCCAAGGAGGAAACCCCTTCAGAGGTGGACTTGGAGGCAGCCCTCTCATTCCCAGCTGCCAGGAGCCTCCCCTGTCGCTCCTTTGAGTAGGTGACCCTCAAATGGTAAGAACAATCAACTTCCAAGATACTTATTAAGAATTTCTATATTCAGGATACTGGGATAAGAGTTCTTAGAAATTTTGAGTCAAAATGCCACTCTTCCCGTCACAACACACTTAAACTGCCTTAGGACATGGAGGAAACAAAGTATTCTTTAGCCCAGCAAATTACTATTAAGTATCTACATCTTGAAACAACTTTAACTCCCCCTTAAGCAGTATTTAACCTCAGGTCCCGTTTCACATTTTACTTCAAAATTCTAAAAGATTATCACATCGTTCGAACCAATGTTCAGTGAGTACTTAATGGGTACTAAGTGTACTCAAATGTGACACTGAGGGGACTTCCTTATTTATTTAAAGAAAAATTTCTAAAATGTGTGCTTACTGTTGAGGAGCTACAGATCTAGTACAAAAGCTAGATTCACTGATAAAATTTAGAGTGATACTAAACTGGTAACTTGCCTTTTGATTATGTAATATAAAATATTTATGGAAATTTTCCTAAACTTGAGTTATAATTCAATGGTCTGTTGAAAACAGCGTATTATTTCTAAAAGATTCTAAAGAAAGGGAAGGAGCAAAAGAGGGAGGGATAAGAGCGGAGGGAGAAAGGAAGGAAGAATTTGAAATTCAGGTTTTCTCTATTGCTAGAAATCCAAGCAGAAAAGTGGGTCAAGTCTTCCATTGCTGCACATTTAGACTTCACTATTTTTTGTCGTTGTTTAATCAAAAATGGGCTTGGACGTTTTCCTCACTCCCTCATTCCTTTTCCTTTAAGGCCTCCACCACGCTCATCAGGGAAAATGCAGGCTATCTGTAGTCTGAGCATTCTCTTGCAACACCTCAGAGCCGGAGTCTCAAGTGATCAGGGGCCACAATGTGGAGCTAACTCCTGTCTAGTCTTCTGCCCACCAGACCCCACACTGGACAGATACGAGAGTCTGCAAAAACCTTTGGTAAAACTGGTGGAGGAAAAGAAAATCAGCTAAAGCAAGTGGTCTGGGACAAGGAACTTCAGACACTTGGAAAGTCAGACACCACAGCACCACCCCACCTTCTAATCCAAGGACGCAATCTGAGAAGTAAGTATTTCATAATTTCCTGGTATGATTTTGCTAATGTGAAATACAGTTTTTTTAAGTTCCAAGAAATCCAAGGCTCTGCCAATAATGGGCTTTGTGGGAGAAGGAGGGAAAATTCTGAAGCGGGAGCCATTTGAAAATAGAACTGAGCTCCTGGGATGCTAAGAATTTTAGGAACATGTCTGTCCTGGCACCAGAACTCCTATCTCAGTTCTGTGTGGCTTTAGTGATGTCACTAACCCCCCCCTGCCCCCGCATCATTTTTCTTGTCTACTAAATTAGGGCACTGGGTAAAATGGCCAGGAAATTTCTTGCCAGCTCTAAGAGCAAGCAAAGATACTAAGGTCTTTTCTAAACCCTCAAATAATGGTTTAGAAAAATTCTATTTGTGAAGTCTGGTGTCTGAGTGTGAGAAGTTAGCTCCAGGAGAGCGGGCTGCTCGGGGGTGGGTGCCCAAGCTACTTGGGAACACTTCGAAAGCAGAGAGCTGCCACCCCAGCAGGGAGAATCTTCTGGTTCCTACTAGTTGGTCATGTCCTGAGAGCCCACCTACAACATTCACATGTTCCTCTGGCCTGGTCCTTCACAATACAGTCAAATGGAATAATGCTTGCAAGCCTTTTGAGGGACCCTTAGAACAAGTTAGACAGGATGTGTTAATTCAGAAGTTATCACCTAGGTAAGGGACAATTACACGCTAGGGAGTCACTACATATACCCTCTTAAGTTTATCAACCCTTTTCTCATAATCAGGTCAAATGTGAAAGCCAAAGGAGAATGAGCAGCACGGGAGGAGGGAGGGGTCTCTAAGACAAGTCCCAGCCCTTTTGTGGATGGAGGCCATGGGGCAGCTACTCAGGTTCGGCTCTGCTGTTAGCGAGTGACTTCTCAGAAAGAGGGCCCACAGCTCCTTCTTTAACCGAAGAAAGAGAGAAGAGAAAGGAGAAGGGAAGTGGGAAGAAGGGGAGGAGGGAGTCCAGGAGGAGGAGGAGGAGGAGGAGGGGAGATTGATAAAGGAAGAAACTGCCTAGAAAAGAGAGCCCAAGTCTGCTCTCCCCCCAGTCTTTGCACACTCTACCCACCACGAAGCCCATGGCCAGAGTGCTCTTTCTAGAACATACGCCAGACCACCTCACTGCCCTGTTGTGAGCAAACAAACACAACTTTGGCAGGCAAACTAAGGTCTGAGCTCCTTAACCGGCCAACAGAATCTTCCAGGCTGGCACTGAGATCATCCTGTGTCTTCCTTGAACAGCTCAGGGGCTCCAGCTGCGCCCATCCCTCCCAGGCTCTCTCATCTCTTTGCCGTCCCACATAGTTTTAGATTTTATGTCTTTCGTGGATAACGATCCTTTTTGCCTCACTTTTGGGATCCACTGCAGCGGCCACCACCACTCTGGCACTTTCTCCCCAACTGCCTTTTGTGCAGAGATTTTGTTTACCACACGGTATTCAATGATCTGTTCATTTGTCCCCATGAGAGCCCTTCAGAACTGTCCGGAGATAGGCTTGGGCTTATTTATCCCCATCCTAAAGCTTGGCACATACTAGAAGCACAGGAAATCATAGGTGAAACAACAAATGAGGAAAAAGAAGAATTAAAACAAGAGAGGCGGGGAACGCAGGGAAGAAGGGGAACACAGGAAAATCCTAAATGCAGTGAGTCTCCATACCCATTGGCAGAGGAGTGGTATTGAGGATCGCCAGAATATCAATGATTCTAAACCTCCTCAGGATCTGCTGTTGGGGGTTTGTTTGAAAATACTTCAGGAGCCCAGGAGGGTTTGAAAGCCCACTCCCTCCCCACTGCCACTTCAACAAAAGAAAGCCAGGAAGTGACTTCCCGCCCCTCTCATCTGACTCCAGCATGTTGGCTGCCTACTCAAAGGTAGGGCGAAGTAGAAATGTAATTTGGATTCCAGTGGCCTGCTGGGTGTTGGTTGCCAAGAAATAACAACAAACAACAGCCTACATCTGCCTTCTGCTGCGTCTGGGAGCACATACTGCGAAGGCCAGGGAGGGTCCAGCAAAGATCCCACCCACTGAAATGGAAAGTCCAGGTCAAAGCCTGGATGAAAATGGAAATATCTTCACCACAAGGAAATACAGAGGACCATGAGTCACCCTCCAGCCAAAAGATTATCAGATGAGGGGTGCCTGGCTGGCTCAGTCAGTAGAGCGTGTGACTCTTGATCTTGGGGTTGTGAGTTTGAGCCCCACGTTCCACTCCACGCTTAGCCCCAGAGTCTACTTAAGACTCCCTCTCCTTCTGCCCCTGCCCCCACCCCATGCACTCTCTTTATCTCTTTCTAAAATAAATAAATAAATCTTAAAAAAAATAAAATAAAAGGATTGTCAGATGAAAGGACAATCTCTAAAAGTGCGCTTTGAAAAATAAGTATTTGGAGGTTATTATTTCTTTTGTGGCTCCTTAAAGAAACAATTTTTTATATTTTTAAAAAAGATTTTATTGATTTATTTGACGGGGGGGGGGAGGGGGAGAGCACAAGCAGGGGGAGGGGCAGAGGGAGAGGGAGAAGCAGGCTCCCCGCTGAGATCATGACCTGAGCCCAAGGCAGACACTGAACCCACCGAGGCACCCAGGTGCCCCAAGAAACAATTTTTCTTGACACGGTCTGACAGAACAGTCTGGGCGACTGCACTGTGCAGCTGAGTTAGAAATCCCAGCTCAGCCCCAGATCTCTAGCTGATCGTGTGTGGGGTTTCAGTCTGATCATATCGCCAGTCTCAACCCAAACTTTTCAGTCTGTGAGAGGCCAGGCTTGGATTTCACCTGCATGAACATTTCCAGGGCCTGTTGAATGCAAAGATACAGTGAATTCTTGTTCTAAAACCTCTTCGTTCAAAGCTCTTGTAATTCAAGGTAACTCTTCTTGCCCCCTTCCTCTGATTTCAGCATGCCAGATGCCGAGAAGGTAAGTCAATATCCGTTTTGTCTGTTCTTAATGTTTTAAATGAAATTGAATTTCACCAATTTGCAATTCACTACATTGAAACCTGACCTCACTCCAAAAATCCCCCAAAAGAGTTAAAAGATGTTTCCTTGGGCACTGAGTTCACACCCAGGGAAATAAATCAAGTCCTCTGTGATTATCAGGCTTTAAATCACACAATGAAGTTTTGCTTTTAATACACATGCAGTCTTTTTTGCTCTAACTCTATGGTTCACAGGCTGAACATAGAGGCTTAGCAACCTAGACTACTATAAATCAAATAAACAAGCCTGGCATGAAATGTCACAGTCAACTAACACATCAAAGTGAAAAACTCAAAAGGCAACTTCTCCCTGCTGGGAAGCATTAAGAAAATCCAACTCTCTTAGGATCTGCAAATGATTGTCTCCAGGGATCCGATCCGTCTTATCTGCGTGCTCAGCACTTTTCACACCAAGAGAGCAAGAAAGAAATCAAGTCAGAGCACAGCAGGGAGCTGGCTGCTCTGTTCTCCTTGACCCCGGGGGACACCGTGTCCCCCCACATCCTCTGCTGATTTCCTAACAGAGATCGGCAGTCGTCCCCCGCCAGGACCCCAGAGCAACCCAGAAAGACCCCCACAAGCAGCACAGCAAACTTCTCGAAAGCATTGATCCTAAGAATCGCAGCTGAAAAAGAACAACAAAACTCGTTAAGCTTTCACAGTAATCCTTAGAAGAGAATTCCGAGTACCTGGCCCCAGAATGGGGTGATCTGGGCTAGGTCATCTACCTCGGGGTGCGGTAGCTCATCTGGTCTCAGGGGTTTTAGGTCTGTAGAAGTGTTATTATCCACAGTCCCAGTTTTAGGATGGCTCCGCTCTCTCACTTTCTCCCTCCTGGAGCCGCTACGGCCAGTCTGCTGGTGGCTTTGCACTATTCTCGCCTCTACTTTATTAGCTCTTCCGCTCACCTCCATGTATTCATCTTGACAGAGGCAAAATGGGAGGAAAAGCAAAGCCAGCAGGTGCCAAGAGACGAGCTGCCTCCCGAGCATGATTCTCAACAGAGCCCCAGAGCCTCCTGGAGAGCACGGCGGGGCTTCTCAGGCAAATGCCAGGGCTGGAGAGGCGAGCTGCCGCCGGCTGGGCTCTTTTATACTTTGGTGTGTAATAAATAAGGCTGCAGGCATGCCAGAGGGAAGCAGTCCTCCTCCCCAGGCAGGACAGCCCCCATTCATCACTCCCCCCCACCCCAGGCAACCGGGTTGATACGTGCAGCTCCCAGTTGGTGGGGTTCATAAATGTCACACCTTGGCACGTTTGTGTTAAAGTGTGAGGGAAACATACACAACCAGCTGGAAACAGAGAGCATGTGTCCAGAGGTTTGCTTTCGTGATTAGACATGTGCTTTCGCGGTCTGAGATGCTTTTGGAAAAACCTGCCCTCAGGCTTGCCAGGAAATTTGGGCTTCACTGCATCAGTTCTGTCTGAAATGGCCAGGAGGACTAGTTCAGGGCAATCCGGAGAGCTCATGCACTCTCGCTGTACAGCTAATGCTTCTCCACGCTGGTCCACTTAAAGGAACTCATTCCTCCTTCCAGACGTCAGCAGCAGAAGGCAGTTGGGTGACTCCAGAACGCTGAGCTGGATTCGGGTGCAGAGTCCCCGCGTCTAGCAAAAGCATTTCCCCATTCTAGGCTAGATTTCCCTTTCCTCTGTGTTTCCAAAAGCCAAGGTTAAATTAAAGTCAGTGATTGCCAGATGAAGGTACAACATCCTGCTTTCTATTAGAAGATGCTTGTCTGTCTCTGGCTACTCATCCTTCTGACATATTCTTGATTAAAATGGAAGAAATGGAAAGGGCCAAACCAAACACGCTGCTTCATCAGATCAGAATGGAGAGAATTATCATTTCTTTTATTTGCTACACTTCTTTTAATTTGGTCAAAGAGCAAATGGATATCCCTAACTTCTTTATGATAATAAATTAAGGGCATTTATGTAGCCGGGCCATGAAAAATTGCTTCTATTTACATATCGTTTCATTTAATATTACTCATTCACTCACAAAACAAAAAGTCACTGCCCCCCCTCCCCCAGGAGAATTGCAGAGACCTTGGGACTTAAGGGACAATGAGTGGCAAGTGTCTCCTGCTAAGTGGACAAGCATGGCACTGTAAGAAGGCCAAACCTGGGAGAAGCCAGGCCTGATAATGAGGTGACAGGGCAGCTGGAAAGGGGGAAGAGGCAGCAAAGGGACCTGAGACCGAGAAGTCACTGATTCAAGTGGTATCACTTTTGCTGGACAGCTGCCTCTATATATAGGCTATATATAGTCATGCCTATTCAAAAGCGAGCAGTTCCCACCCAGTGGCGGATCAGAGGCTCTGCCATCCCCATCCCGTAAGTCTACCCATCCAAAATTTCCTCACTGTTGAGTTCTTGGAGACCTGTGATGAGCCCTCCTAGGCAGATATCCCTAGGGAAGGTAGTACATCAAGCTGTTACCTGGCATTAACTCTTACTGAGGATTTCTTTCCCAGACCTGGAGCTGAGACAGGTCTTGTGGGCAAGCAAGTGGATGGAATACCGCTGTGAGAGAAAAGGCCCAAGGGAGTGTCTTAGTGGGGATGCTCCCTCATGGGAGAGGCCTGGAAACAATTTTGCAGGGAGACCACAAAGCAAGAAATGGCTCAGAAATCTAGGTCACATCATTCAAAGTTTTCTAAGAGCTGTCCCTGGCACCTCCCACAACCTGGACCATCTGGCTAACTAGCTACAAGTCAACCTCTTCTGACTTTCAACTGCATCGAGGCTTTCCACTGCTGTTTTCAATCCTTTCAACTATTCTAGTAGTTCTCAATCCTGGCTGCCCATTGAAACAAACCAGGAAGGTTCTAAATATAACAGTGCCTGGGCCCCATCCCAGAGCAATTGAGTCAGAATCTCTAGTGGGGCCTGGGTGCCAATAGTTTTCAAAAAGTTCCCTGAGTTGATTCTTTTTTTTTAAAGATTTTATTTATTTTATTTGAGAGAGAGAATGAGAGAGAGAGAGAGAGCATGAGAGGGGGAGGGTCAGAGGGAGAAGCAGACTCCCTGCCGAGCAGGGAGCCCGATG